TTACTACAGTAGTATTAGAGTATTTTGAAAGAGCAAAATTCAAATGTAAACAATTGTAGAAGCACAGGATAGCACAGAAGTAGGTTCATTACAAAAAGGATGTGAGTTTACGGTTAATCTAGCAGTTCTCAAAGTTTTTGGTTTTGGGTCCCTTTTCACTCTTTAAAAAAATTATTGAAGACAAAAAAAAATTATTAAAGACCATGAAGAGATTGGGGAAGACAGAATTTTATCTAGTAATATTTATCATATTAGAAATTCAAATTGAGAAATAAAGTATTAATCATTTACAAATAAATCCCAATACATGTTAATGTAAATTTTTTTTGGAAAGTAACTATTTTTCTCAAACAAATCATTATAGAGAAGAGTGGCACTGTTTTTTGCAAATCTCTTTAATATTTGACTTAATGGAATACAGCTGGGTTCTCACAGCTGCTTCTGCTTTCAGTCTGTTATAGTATCACACATCAGGCAGCCTCTGAAAACTGCACACTCAGGAAAGGGTGAAAGTGAAAAAGATAAATTAAACCTCAGAATTATAAACAGCTTTGATCCTGAGTACCTCTGAAAGGCTCTTAAGGACTCCCTCCCCCAGACCACACAGTGAGAACCACTGCTTTAGTCAGTCTCCTCATTATACATTTAGGACGCTAGATCTCAGAGTAAGTGAGAAAACCAAAATCACATGACCTAGTAACGGTAGGATACAGGCCATAGATGGTTTGTCTCACTTCTCTTGGCTTAGGTGCTCATCAGAAAGCTAGAAAACAGACCCTAATGGCCTATTCTGTTCCCTCTACTTGCAAAGACTGCCACAATGTATTAACACCCCCCTCTCAATTTTTTTAAAAAAGAGGTAAATTAACAAACACAACAAATTCTGCATCAGACATACTGTCTTTAAATTTGAATTATATTATTTGAATTAGCATCTATGTTTGAAGTGAAACATGAAGGCAAATTCTATTATCCCTACCCATACAAACCGGTAATGACAAACTGCACAGTAAACATCAGAGATAAACATGGAAAGGAGGTTAACCACAATGTCACAATCGTCTCCTCTGTGTCTGTAATACAATTCAGGGACATATTTCAGTACTGACTGAAAAGGTGGTGAGTATACTAAGAGGCAACAGATAAATCATAAAGAACTTTTTACATAAAATGGAATTGTGAAACGTAGATATTTTTCAATCCCTAGCCAGATGTTATTACTGTCTTTTAAAAATATCAAGAAATCTTCTTGGTCACCTAGAGATGACTGCCTTTGTATCCTACCAGATGGTTCAAATCTTCTTTAAATGGATCATAGCCTTGTTCCTTTAAACCTCGTAGTGCCCAGAAAAGTTGGTCTAGTGGAGGAAATTCTTCCCAAGGAACCCATTCCCAACCTAGAAAAGAAAGATACCAAATCAATTCATTTAGCTGACAGAAAACAAAGGGTATTTATTTCAGCAAGCTGACCTAGATAGAAACAATTAACCGACTTTAAAAATTATTTGGGCCAGATGCAGTTTGGGGCTCACACCTGTAGTCCTAGCACTTTGGGAGGGAGGCTTAGGGGAGAAGATCACTTAACAGAGAGAGACATGGAGTACCCAAAAGGTGCTTGCAAGATACTGAATTAACTGCCTGTTTCCTAGAGAATGAAGTGTTTGGATGATCCTCCTGATTATAGTCAGATAGTTGAAGAAAAGATGTAGTAAACAGTCACCGAAAGCAGGCAATTCAGGTCCAGGACCCGAGAAACAGAGACTAAATAAAACACTCACCAAACTAGTGCACTTGGTCAGGCTGCAGCCAGTTATCAGTGAGAGCTCACAACTGGAATAAAGCGAAAATAATTCTGCTATATTGTTACTTAAGGAGCAAATTTGTTATTGTTGAGATGGAGTTGCCTTGGGTAGAGTGCTGTGGTATCTTAGCTCACAGCAACCTCAAACTCCTAGATTGCAGGGATCCTCTTTGCTTCAGCCTTCCAAGAAGTTGGGACTATAAGCACCCACCACAATGCCCAGGTGGTTTTTTCTATTTTTAGTAGAGACTGGGTCTCGAACTCTTGACCTCAAGCAATCCACCTGCTTTGGCCTCCAAGAGTACTGTGACCACCACCAAACAAATGTTTCTGATAAAATTTGATTTGATGCTAGTAATCTTGAACCTTGTAAAATCATACCGTTGATTCGAGATTACTAGTAAGATTCACATGAAGGGGTTAACAGAACAAAGGTGGACCAAAAAGTTACATACATGAATTTTCAAAATCACAAAACATGTGAAAACTACTCATAACTACTCTATCCTAGGAGGAATAAACGAATACGTACAGTTACATAGTAATTAAAATTTTAATTCTTGATATACTACTTAATAAAGCAGAAAAATAATCTTTCAGAAATTATTAAAAAGTAGGCAAGTCTAGTACCACACCTGAGAGCTTTACAGAAAGAGACCGGCCTACAGTTAGTTCACCTGTTCCTTCCTTCAACATACAGTATTTTGAAAATTGATTATGAGCCAGACATAGTGAAAAGTCAAAGACGCATGAGCCAAAATAACTGTCCTTTATATATAGATTCCAACTTTAGTAAAGGAATAATGAGTATAATTTGAAGTTGAATTGATGAGTTGATTTTGAGATATCTCCTAAGGGAAGATACCTAGAAAGCAAAATACAGGCCTAGAGCAAGATGCAAGTTTAAATTTGCACCAACTCATGTCCCTACAGAGGCCAGAAAGGCCTCCAGGACTGAAAAACTAGGAAGCACAAGAGGGCAGCTGCGAGAATGAGAACGCTCAAATAAAGCTCATGGGGCAGTCAGTGACTTTGGAATTTTCTCCCCGCGCCCCTTCTAACAAATGAAGGCCTTCAAAACTGCTTCCTCTGAAGGATAAAGAGTATGAAAAATTTAATCATTTCCTCACATTTCTCTCTTCTAGTCACAGCTATTTTTGCCCATAGAAAAGACAAAAATAAGAAAAATATTCAGTCTTTCAAGTTTGGGGCTCTATTTTAAAATAACAATAACCTATGCTTATTTTCTAAATAAATTATATCTCAAAACCGATGTAGCAAAAAGTTCCATTATGTGTTAATATACTTTGCTTTGGTCATAAAGAAAAAAGCTCAGTTCTACAAAAAGTAATACAATAGAAATATGTATAATTAAATATCAATATTAAAAAGTTAAAAATCAATTGCTCCTCCCCCAAGCTTCAGAATATAAAAGCTAATGATAATTTTTTTTTTTTTTTTGAGACAGAATCTCACTTTGTCACCCTTGGTAGAGTGCCATGGTGCCATAGCTCATAGCAACCTCAGACTCTTGGGCTCAAGTGATTCTCTGGCCTCAGTCTCCAAAGTAGCTGGGACTACAGGCGTCCGTCACAATGCCTGGCTATTTTAAGAGCTGGGGTCTTGCTCTAGCTCAGGCTGGTCTCCAACCTGTGAGCTCAGGTGCTCTGCCGCCTCGGCCTCCCAGAGTGCTGAGATTACAGGAGTGACCCACCGCGCCTTGCTGCTAATGATTTTTGTTTCCATTACTATTGTAGTGGGCTCTCCCTTTCCTACTTTTCATTTTATCTAAGATAATCAGGGATGTGAGATGTAGCAGACTTTTAGAAAACTCCCCAAATTTATCCTATCCATTTTTTACTTACGTCTCCTGACTTCCAGTTCTTGAGGCATGAATGATTTTAGTTGTATCCCAGGACAACTGAAAGCCTTTGGACACTTCATGGGTGGTTCCTTGCTAGTTCATTTTAAATGATTCAAGCAGTTATCTACTTTATCAAAATCTTGTATGACTCAACAGGCCTTTGGGTGCCAACATGCCCTTCTGTTTGCTCATTCAAATCAATCTATAAAAACGTGATTTTTGCATTCTACAAATAACACTTCCTCCAGGTCAGAGAGCATTATGTCCCTTTCTAAAGTCCCTTCCTGACCCCCCTGAGATAGCACCGCTGCATTGCTGTCCTTATATAGCTTTATTATTCTTTCTCATTGTTATTGCTACTATTATAAATTATTTGCTACTTTGTTGTTTCTCCTCCTAATAACAGGTAAAGTCCAGGAGGGCAGGGACTTTGTTCCACATACTACTGTTTCTTTAGCACCTAGAACAGTGACTGGCAGACAGCGCTCAAAAAGTATTTGTTGAACGAAAAGATTCTTCGTCAGCAGGCCCAGGTCAGATTCAAACCCACCAGCCTGGGTGTATATGGCTGGTGCTATAACCACTGTGCTATGGGTGCCGAGCGTACATCTCCATATTTACATATCTCAGTCCATTAGGGCTGCTATAACAGACTAGATGCCTTATAAACAACAGAAATTAATTTATCTCAGTTCTGGAGGTTCAAAGTCCAAGAAGCAAACACTAGCAGATTCAGCATCTGGGGAGGGCCCACTTCCTGGTTCATGGGTGGCCATCTTCTCTCTGTACTCTTACGTTGTGGAAGGGGTAAGGGCTTTCTCTGGGGTTTCTTTTATAAGGGCACTAATCTCATTCATTACTTCATGACCTAAGCACCCTGCAAAGGCCCCACCACCTAAAACCATCACCTTGAGGTCAGGATTTCAGTATGAACTTGGGAGGAATACAAATATTCAGATCATAGCATTCTCTTCATATGGCAACATAATGTAATACTTTAGACCATTTTCTCTTCAAGAAAAATGCAAATTACACATAATTCTCTTACTTTCATTTTTTTCAGGTTCTACATTCTTTGGTTCTGAATCATGAGTCATGTCCACCTCTCCTTTCATTAATATAGTGACATAATGGTAATTCTCTTTCTCAACAAAAGAATTCACAACTGAGGCAAAGCGAACATTTTTCAGGTAAAGAGCAGCTTCTTCCAAGGTTTCCCTTTGAGCACATTCTTCCCAACTCTCACTGGAAAACAGAAAAACAGAAACATACCATTGTATTCAATTTTATTTTGTATTAATTTCTTTTTTACCATGAAGTTTTTTTTTTTTTTTTGCTAGAAAATTTTCATGTAAAGTAAGAAGAATTGTAATTGGTTCCCACTTTCAAACAATAAATCAACAACCTTTGACATTCTGTATTTTCTGAATCTAGTTACCTGTAGCCCAAAAGGATTTCACATTGAATTAAAAAAATTAACATTTAGCCAATTTGGCACTAATTCTCAGACCTGGAGACTGTTATGACTCCAGGAGGCAGTTTAGTGTATTAGGAACACAGGCTTTTGAGTCACCTAGACCTTGGTTTGAACTCAAGTCCATTATCTTCTGCCCTGGATAAGCCAAAAAAGAGTAATACTAATTTCTCATGGGTTCCTTTTAAGTGTGTCAAGTGCACTGTCTTTTCCAATAGTCTCAGAATTTCAGTTTAAGCCTCAAAATTGAAGACAATAAGCAGGTAATAAGCACCTTTAAATTGTCAAGAGCACAGCAAAAGAACTAACAGATGTCATTTGAGTTCAGGGGTTTGCTATGGAAGGCCAGGCTAGTCCTGTGACCTCATCCCACTAGACTACATAAGATAGGAAATCTCTGAGAGGGAGGAAGTTCTGAGTTTCTACACTAGTAGGAAGGAACGTTTCCCTTTTTTCTTATGAGGGACTAACTCTGCTCCC